GGTTATATGTGGTATATGTTTGTGTATAGGTATATTGACATAATTTAATTGATTTATTCAATCAAAAATAAAAAAGAAATGTGCTAAAATAAATATGTGTAAAAATTTTAACAAGTCATCGAGCGAGCGAGCATTCACTAAAATTTTCGAAATTTTATACAGCTTTCATACATATACATACAAATATGAATATAATACCTTTAGATGTGTATATGTAAAAAGATTATAAATTTTGCAAGTTGTTATTACATAAATACCTATACATACATATGTACATATAACATTGAAATGATTAATTTTATTTATAAAGAAAAATTAACACAGTATACAACAAAAATTGTGTTAAAAAATAACTTACAAGTACTGGTTTGTAGTCGATTATCCAAAACCTTACTATAAATATTAAGTATTAAAATTATTGAATTAAAAAAAACAAAATATTAACAATATTGTCGTTAAGAACAAATTATTTCTCAGAAAATTCACCATATCAAAAATCCAAATTATCAAAAGATGATTTTTCACTAATCAAATCCAAGAATTTTCAAGCTAAGCCGAATTTCATTAAAGCGGAATTAGAAGCGCGCTTTGAAAAAATATTTTTCTTAAAAATTTTAATTTAGTTATTCCAACTATATAATTAAATAGCCGGATTATTAATAAAAAAAACGCATATAAAAAAGATTTTCCATAGAATTGTTTTTTAAATAAAACTCTTTAATTTTGTTATTATTAACATTTTTTTTTTGTATTAAATAACAAATTATGATGATGATCAGTCGACACATGTGTGCCTTGTAACACATCTCATTAATATATATATCATATCACATCATATAGTGTTATTTCCTCCAACTTCCTTTTATTGTCATAAATTACAATTATCAATTATCTCAGTTTTTATTTGAAGTTTTCATTTTGTTTACATTTGTCTGAGTTTAGTACGCTCTAAATTACAATTTGCTTTATTACTTTTGAATTTAAAATAAAAAAAAAAATCATATTCGTACATGTATTTATGTTTACATTGTAAAAACAAAAACAAAAAACAATTAAACATAAAAAAAGAGAAAAGAAAACGCGTTGTCAGGCAAACAAACAAAAAATAAAAAATTTTTTTTTTTCATGTTGCACATAACAATTATATAAATTTATACCCTTCCATACATAATTTAAACTATACATAAATGTATTTAAGTCCCAACTTTTTTTCTTATTAAAAATAAAAAAAAAAAATGATGAATGAACAGAATAAAATTCAGTATAAAGTTGGTACGGTCTTTAATACATACTACTTTAACGGTAAATATATTTTCGTGTCAAAGAGGCACAGTATTTCTCTCTCTCTCTCTCTCTAAATCTCACAACAATTGTTGTAATTTTCAAATAAAATTTAACATGAATTCTGTGTTTGGATCTCAAATATGGCTCAAAATTGCTTTTAAACTGTTGCCCTGGTCTAAAAAAATTACGTACAAAAATTTAAATTTGAGAGAAATCGTTAATTATATCGTTTTTTATATAATTGTTTATCTAAACGTGCTTAGAATTTTCTTAATTATTGCTGTTCAGCAAGAATAATAATTGAGAGAAATAATTACTTTTACCCAGGATATTTATTTAGGGTACTGTTTACATAATAACATACATATATACGAAAAAATCTAAGATTTATTCTCGCTGATAAAAGTCGAATATGTAAAACCTGTTTAACAACAGATTTTGTCTGCCGGCATATAATAGATATTTTCTTATTTTCATCAGATTTCTCAAAAGTAAAATGGTGACAATTGATTTTTGGTTGTAGTTCGGAGCAGGATTATTAGGAAATGATAATGAGAAAAATTATTAAATTTTGACATAAACTTGAGCGCAACCAGGTAATTTTAGTTCAATATTGTACAAACAGTCATCAGGCTTTACCTACAATTTAATGTCAGATTATTGTCGTATATATGTAAATAGTACCCAATTAATTGAATAAAATTAATTGAAAGGCTATTTAAATACATAGTTTTAAAATTGTAATGAAGTTGTTTATAAAATTGTTTTCAAATTTTGATAAAAAATTTGGAATAAAATTTATAGGTTTTTTTTTCATTTTTATTATTTTTAGTTTATAAACGAGTAACTTTAATTATAGATTGTTTTATATTGAAAATTACATTATTGCCTTAAACTTCTCAACTGAAACTATTCAATATTTAATACAAATATATGCCTAAAATCAATAAAAATAAAATACATAAAACGATCACTGAAATTTTGTTTATTTTCCATTTTGTTGCTTTTAAATGTTTTTTTTTTTTACATATTACTTCCATCATTATTTCGATGCAATTTTTTAATAACTTGAAATTATTATTCATTTTTTATATATAAGTATGTACATAATATTCTAATGTAAATTATAATGAAAATTAAAAAAAAAGAAATTAGGAAATGATAATGAGAAAATTGGGTCATCAGCCATAAAACAGTAAAAATGTTGTTCATTCAAAACGCATAACCTCCGTGTTTATATGAAAGAAAGGGGGAAGTTAAAACACGATTTTTAAATTTATTTTCATATTTCATTTTATAAATAAATATTTTTTTCATAAACATTTTCATTTACACATTGATTTATTATAATTATTATTTTATTATGTTATGATAATAAAATGTATTTTAAATAATTTTATTGTGAAACTTTTGCTTATACTTATGTCCGGAAATTAATAATATTGTTTATTTTTTTCTATTAATTTAAAATATGTAAAATAATTTTCACTATTGAAAAAAAAAACTATTTAGGATCTATAATAAAAATAAATATGATTTGCTGAGAAATTAAAAAATATGTAATTAATAATGTTAAAATATTTATGTGGATATCGTATTGAAATGCACATTTAATTTTACTTGATTGACTTCCGGTTTAGATTTAACAATTTCATAACCAAATCTACATACATGTACATATGTATAATAAAATATGATTCATAATAATTGAAATTGTGATATAGTAAGATTAGCTATTTTCCTAAACGCAATACTGCGAAACAATAATGTCATATAAGGTGAGTGTCCCTATTACTAACATATTTCGCAACAAATTCAACTTTGGTGTGAGATATTTTATATGTGGAACACAATAAGTGATCGTTTTTCTGATTTTTTGAATAATTTAGAAAATTGCGAATAATGTTTTTTATAAAATTATTTAATCAAAATATTTTTTAATTTATGGTTTTTCGATTAAATATGAAAAGAAAAAATGTTCCTAATATTGACCTATCCGCAAATGTTTGTGTCTATTACTGACAGTTTGTGTTCCTGATACTGACAATGTAATTTCATATGCTGTAATCTATATTTTATATATGAATAATGGTTTAAAATGGTTAAAATAATAATATTCAATAAAAATAGAATAATAATTTAGATTTCTATGGATATTTCATCTTATTTAAAAAAAAATTAAAAATGGATCAAATTATAATTCAAACAAAAATAAAAAACATATTTTATATTGAATTAAAGGGAAAAATATGTAAAATTCAGCTGATTTGAGTTTATTATTACTGCAGAATGTACTTTTACAAGTAGTCTTAATATGCAACAATGAATAAATAAAATTTTTAAAAATGAAGTGAGATATGTTAGTAAAATTACATTATTCTACCCTTAATTCCATTTCAATCGGATAAAACATTTTTGATATGTAAAACAAAAACAGTTCAGCTAATTGAACTAAAGGTCTATTTTTCAAATTCTTTATTAAATGTCGATATACGTATATGTTAATAACATTAGTGAGCAATGTTGCAGCTATCAAATGAATTTTAAGATTATAACTGAATTGTAGGATTTGAAAGACCCTTTATTTGATTTCTTCATTTTAGATTAATGCGAAAAAATAAGGACAATGAAATAAACATTCAGATTTATTTGTAATTCTAAAAACTATTTCTAGAATAAAATCATGAGTTTTATAAATAAAAATTTTCAATCAATACATAATAAAATTGAGGCTCTTTTGGGCACTCTTATTACTCAATTATTAATCTAATCAAATAAGCTGTTTTCATTCAATTTTCAAATTATTTCTTATTTAATTTTTATTTGAACTTTTTTTTACATACCTAAGAAGCAACTAAGCCGAATAATTTTGATTTCACTTTTTAATATAAAAATTGGACTCTATACTAAATGAACATTAACCTGCCAATTTGTTAAAATAAAAAAAAAAAGTTTAACGTTTTTTTTTTTTGTTTTATTATTAACTCAATTAATTCATTTGTTTTCCGAATCATTTTATGATTTTCTGCTTATCTATTCATTTATTAACATTTTAATTTAAGTGATTTGAAAAAAATAAATAAAACATCTAAGTCTGTCTTCATACTTGACTTATCTTGAATTATTTGTACAATTAAACAAATTTATTTAATATACACAAACAAATTTTCTTCACGTTTTAAAATTAATTTACAAAATCTGATCAAAATATTAATCAAAAACAATAAAATTTTTTTTTATTTTAAATATTTAATTTTCAATTTTGTATCAAATTACCTTTTATACTATTGTTAAAATTTATTAAATTATTTGTCACAATAAATATAAAATTAAGATTTAATTATGTGGAAAATGAAGAAAAAAAAAATTTTTGTTTTTTAGAAAACTTTCATTTTGCTATTAATTATTACATAAATGCTTTAAGCGCGTTGTATTCTCGGAGTTGTATGATATTTGTGTGAAAAAGTACTTCTATCGAGCCGAATTTAAATTGAATTACTGTGACAATTACTCCTAATCAGTTTGATTAGCTTATCATAATGCAATGGCAAACGGAAGCCATACATATATTTTAATTGGTTGGTAAACTAAGAAATAATACTGTTCCTTTATACTATCAATTAATTTAATTATCAATAATATTAAAAATATAATTAAAAATGTTTCTTCAACAGTAAATAATATCAATTATTTGTTTTTTGTTTCTATATTTTTAGGTTGATATTCAGCCAACAGAACGTGAAACAATATTTTCTGATGAATTAAGACCAGCTGATCCAAGAAATGTTGGTCCATGCGGTGGTTTTAGTACACAATATGCGTGTATGTGTGATTTTCATGGTGTCCCATATAGGTTAGTCGAAAAGCAAAATAACAATAAAAAAATTAAATAATGTTATATTAAAAAAAAAAATTATTTAAAATATTTTATTGTGTTTTAATTATTTTTAATTATATTTATATTTTTAGAGAGGAAGTTGCTTGGGATATTGATACAATATATTTATCACATGATACACGTATATTAAATTTAAGAGATTTTGATCATTTGGAACCAAAAGACTTAATGGCTATTGTATCAGCATTGGAATATAATACATTTTTTCGTGGTTTAAAAGTTGCTCATATGCGACTGTCACATGAAACACTGGACAGGATATTACATGTATTAAAACGCTCAATGTGGCTAGAAGAATTACATTTAGAAGCATTAGGATTAAGGTATATAAATAACATAATAATTATTTTTTAATTTCTCAAAATACTCAAAATTTTGCACTATCAGAAATTTATTAGTTTTTTGAGAAAAACATTCTAAGAACACTATTTAAAAAAAAAAAAAAATCGCCTAAAACTATGCTTTTTCTAAATTAATATGCTACTATTTTGCATATTTTATTAACTTATTTATTATTAATTTTTAGGTCGGATTTTCTTCATAAGTTAGCTGTATCTGTGATTACTAATAATAACCCCGCTATTCGCACCATCGATTTAAGTCATAATTTAATTGAGGACAAAGGTATGTTATATTTGTAATGCGGAAAAAATTATTAAGTATATAAATTGAATACAGCCTCTGATGTCATTGAAACAACATTATCAAAAATTATCACCAAAACATATACTTCTTTTTTAAAATTCTTTTATACACAAATAAATTATTTTTTTAATTAGTAAATTATTATAAAAGTATTTAAAAGTTTATATATATAATATATTATGTACACATGTATATATTATATACTTAATTATTATATTTGTATCTTCAAAAACCTATTATAAAATGATTTTTTTTTCTTTTGTAATTTAAACTCTTTCTTTCTTCTACATAATGTAAGTTCTACAAAATGTAAGTAGGTAAAATTAGGTTTTATATGAATCTTTTGAATAAAATTAATTTTCATTGAAAATAGGAGGAGAAGGATATTTAAATTTTATTATTATATCAAATAACTTATTTTGGTTAATTAAAAATTATAAATTTTAAAATGCAAAATCTTAAATTACATTATAAATTTTGCAATTCAAATTGTTAATTCTAATAGAAATTATTGTTATTTAATAAACTCGATGTTAAAACTCGTTTTAAATTGTAATACAGAGCAAAAATTTTTCTTATTTTTATGTTAATAAAATCAAATAGCTAGAACAAATTATAATTATAATTTATAATTATAACAAATTATACCTTTATTTTTTAAGAGTTCAAAAAGAATTATCAATTATAATGGAATTGAAAAGAATCAAATATATGAAAAGAATGAAATATTTAAATACAATTCTAGTCAGGAATTCAAAATTTTTATTTCCAAAATTTTTTACCATTTGATCTTAACAATACGAATTTAAACTATAAATTGCATTTATAAAATTTTAGATATTAACTAAATTTAAATTAAAGAATTTCCATTTATTTTCATATTATTACTTAATATTTCTTTAATTACAAATTTTTAGAATACTGTTTTAATTATAAATAAACATATATAATCACAAAATCTACTTACAAAAGCAGTAAATTTATTTAACAAAACAATGAATTTCTTTATTATTTATACTTTTTTTTCTTTAAAAACTCTAATATTGTTTGTTACTTTCACATTATTCATTACATATAATTAATAATTTATTTTTTAACATAAAATACAAAAATAAAACTTAAAAAAAAAAAACAGAAAAGATTACTGAAAATATCTTTTAAACATTAATTTATCGTAGGTGCAAGTTCAATATGTGCCCTAGTTGGGAAAATTGTTCAAGGTTTGAAAATAATACAAAAGAAAATGCAAAAAAAAAAATTAACGCAAAAAACAAACATTTTAGAAAAGCTGTAGTTATTTTTATTTTTTTTTTTCTTTCTAATTGTTTATTTTTGTTTTTAATATAAAAATGGCTCAATTTAATTTTTTGTTTGTAAAATTTTCTTAACCAATTTCTAATTCAATTAATTTGAATGCGAATTTTTTCAATAACAAAATTTAAAAAACAAAAATTAATCATCCAATTAACTTAGCCGTTTAAATTTAACTATTTATTAGTTTTTCTAATATTTAATAATTTTACTAAAACTAGATGTTAATTGTTAATATTTTATTTAAATATGTTTTTTGTTATAATAGTGTGTTAATATTAATTTGAATGCAGTTTTGCAAAAATTCATAATTCTGGCTTTAATTAAAGAAATTAATTTCAAGTATGCCTCACATTCCAGATGTTATATTAGGCATCTCATTACCTTTTTAAACCTTTTTTTAACAAAAAAACTAATTTTGAATCTGGATCATATTTCTAAAGCAAATTGTGCTAATACATTCACCCATATCCTGTTATTCATTTGACATAATGGGTTGTTATTTAAAAATTTTGTAATTTTTTGAAAAAAATCAATTCCAAAATTTGCAATTCTATATTGAATATTTTTAAATAATATCCCATCATCTCAAAACAGAACACAATATGGGGGATTAGTCTTTTTTTTTTTTAACAAGACCGCCCATTATAAATTAAAAAATGCATGCAGCTTTACAATATGTCATTATTTGGAAATAAAATCGTTTTAGTTTTGAGTGGCTTTAATAATTTTTGTAAATATAATGTATATAAACTTTACTGGAATTTCAAAATTCAATAACTTATTGTAAAAAATTGGCGAAACATTGATAACTCAGTAACTCAAACTAAAATTTCTTTTCGTTAAAATAAAGTAATAGTTAGAGTAGGAACCTTGTATACTTTTTCTTAATATTTCTCTGTCCACAAATATTCTACCACTGTACACATCTCGCTAAAATTCTTTGCCGGTTGTTAAAATATTTTTAAACCCATATAAAATGATAATTTTTATTAAATAACCCTTTAATACTTCAGTGTTAAAAATTTAAATTAATGTTATTATAAATTATATTAATGAAAATTACATAAACTATAATTAATTTTGATTTATCATATTTATGCATGAAATACTAAATATTTTTATGTAAAAAAAAATTTATACATAATATTTAACTAAAATGTTAAATACCTTTTATAAATAAACTAATTAACTAATATATTAAAAAAAATATAGATGTTTTCAATAATAAAATTAATTTTTTTTTTCGTTTTGTTCCGTTTTATATAAATGAAAAGCTTTTTCAGCTTAATTATACTTAATTTTAATAACAAACCTCAAAATAAGAAAAATATGTTTATAACCTTAATTAAAATTTTGAAAATTATAATAATATATTTCTTTTTATAAAAATTTTTTTAGGCGCAATCCATTTAGCTGGCCCGATAGCAAAGATATCAAAAGGCCTATGTAAATTAGCTTTATCACATTGTGGTTTAACATCAAAAGGAGTCAATCAAATGTCGCACTCATTATCGTTAAATCAAACAATTTCTAGTTCACTAACATATTTAGATTTAAGTGGGAATAGTCTCAAAGATGATGTTACGGTAAATAATACTTATAAAAAAGCTATTATGATAAATATAAAGGCAATAAAATGCTTAAAAAAACAAAAATATTTTAGAATTTACTTAATTTTCTGGGGCAACCAAATGTTTTGGAATATTTAAATTTGGCTTCGACTGATACAACTTTGGAAAATGTAAGCTTTATAAAATTTTGGATTGCTTAAGCTATTAAATGTATAATAATAATAAATTTCATATTTTATTTTTAGTTATTTGGTGCCCTATTACGTGGTTGTGTAACACATTTAGCTCATTTAAATGTTTCACATAATTCGTTCAGCACGAAAAAAGGCAAAGAACTTCCACCATCTTTTAAACAATTCTTTATGAGCACATTAAGTTTAAAACATCTTAATATTGCTGGCTGTAAATTACCAATGGACGCTTTAAAGTAAATATAGTCAATTAAATTTCTTTCTGCAAAAAAAATCTAATTTTAAATTGATTTCATAGAAATTTATTACTTGGATTGGCATGTAATCAGTCAACAACTGGACTGTACCTAGATCTTAGTAGTAACTCGTTAGGTACACATGGTGCACACGTTCTAGAGTCATGTATACATGGAGTACGTGTTCTGCAAACATTAGATATAAGTGACAATAGTATGTATTTTTTTTCTCTGAAAAATATAAAAATAAATTTATAATGACTTTATTTTATTTTTAGATTTTGACTCCGAATTAGCATTAATATTAACAGAGATCTCAAAGAATCCATCAATAAGATCTTTATATATGAATCGAAGCTTAGTTGGTATGAAACCAAAATATATAATACCAGTAATGGATGCTTTAGTTAATCTAATACAAAAAGATGATTTTCCACTTGCTGAATTAGTTTTATCTGATAATAAACTAAAAACAGATATACATGATTTTATAAATGCCTTAGGAAGTAATCAAAGTTTGCAAAGATTGGATATAAGTGGAAATTATATGGGTGATATTGGAGCTCGTCTATTAGCAAAAGCTTTGCAAATCAATAGTAAATTACGTACAATATTATTAGATCGAAATAATATAACATTACAGGGCTATGCTGATATTGTATATGCTTTAGAGCATAATTCATCAATGCGTTGTATACCGTTCCCGGTATTTGATATAGCACCATCATTAAAAAATCATCCAGAAAAAACAGATGCTGTTATGAGAAAAATGCAGGAACTATTACAAAGAAATGCAAATGGTTTGAAAAGAACAACTGGGCAAGGTTTTCGTTTGCAACATGGTTTTATGTTATCATCAACACATCAATTAGTTGATAGGCTAGTTACCGAAACACAAGAAACTATATCTTTGGCGCGTGGTAGTGATAGCGCATCAGCTGTACAACGTTTAATTGATGATGCTGAAAATTGTAAACAATTAATGCCAAAACTTCAAGAGACTGTACGTAGCGAACCGCATCCAATTGAAATGAAATTAACACGTATTGCTAGTGATTTAAATAAATCTATTCATGGTTATTTAGAAGATACAATGGATATAATGTTAAGAACAGGTATTGAACAATGCCCGAAAACATTGGGTAGTCAAAATGTTGTTAGTGATTTGAGAAAGAATTTAACTGAACGTTTAGATATTAATGAAGAATTTTTGCAAAACTGCTTGGTTAATAATGCTGGTAGCGAAATAATGAACAAAATTAGGTAAGTAAAAATTTTGCGTTTTTAACAAAATTTTTCATTTGTTTAATCCAACAAAAAAATTTGTTTTATCAAAAATGTTATTGTTGTTTTCTCTTATATAGAATGACGAATACACTTATTTTTATTTACTTTTGCGTTTACGAATATAATAATATAAAGATAAAAAATAATATTAAAACCAGATATATTTGTTATACTAAACTACTATTGCGACAGTAAAGGAAAGTCAACGTTATTGTGAAGATTGATTTTTATTGAATCATTTCAAATATTTTGTTTTTAATTTTTGTTTTTTTGATATTGGGTCAATGGATTTTTTAAATATACTAGAAACGTTTTTCAATTATTTTCTATATTTTTGTTTTTTCCAAATAATAAAAAATGGTTTGACTTGAATTACCAATATAAAATTTAGAAGTTGATGTTATTAGAATAATTTTTCGATAATTTATTTAGATTAGCCATTTTTTTTAAATGCATTCATAATTGAATTTAATTAAAAAATTTTATGTGCATAATTTTAGAAAGACATTTTTTTGTGTATTTGCGATTTTTCAACATAAAATGTTACAGAATATTTGTCTCTACAAGCCATTGCGTATTTTGTCTACCAAACTTGAAAATGTGGAATAGACATTCGTCATAATATGCATCCCCATTTTAAAATATTTCAATTATTCATATAATTTTATTTTAATTAATATCAAAATTTTATTAAAGTTATAGTTTTTAAATACCCTAATGGCTACTAGTGCTTATTTCTGCATTTCCAACTAATACTAATAACAAATTCTTTTGTTATAAATATTATAATAAAATACAATAATTAAATATAACACTTAATAATGTCTATGTAAAACACTATATGTATGTTGTTTGATTATTCATCTCAGTATATTAATACACTTCTTATTTTGTTCACATTTTATGATTCATTAAAAATGGTTAACATTCAACAGCGACATATTGACTGACTAAGCTCGTTAAAATGAATTGTTGTGGTTTTCGTATATAGTTCATTCCTGCCAATTTCAATAAAGTTTTATAAAAATTCATTATTAAATTTTGTTATCTTCAAAAAAAAAAAAAAAAAATACATTTTTCCTGTTACAAAAAAGAGAAAATCTAATTATGTTATAGAAAAATTATCTAAATAATATTCTTTGCGAAAAAAAAAAAACGAATTATTAGATAAGAACTTGTACTGATAAAAAAATTAAAAATTCTCATTTTTTCATTTTCATAAATTTCTCATTGTGATTCTTTTTTTTAAGCTAATTTCAGTGCTATATTACGCACTGAATTTGTAATGTCGTTTTTTAGAAAAATTTTTTGTTTTGATATTTGTTGTGAACAAAATACCACAAAAAATAATTATGAAAATTTAGAAGAAAAGTAAATATATTTGTTTAAATTTAATAATTAACAATAATAAAACTTTTTAATAATTTTTAGTGAAATAGAACAATCATTAGCAGCAACAATATCAGATCGTGCTACTGATGAAGTTATAGATGCATTAACAAGATATAGACGTGGTTTAGGTATATCCGATTCACCATCAGTATTATTAGATGAACCACAAACACCAGATATTGTTCGAAGCCGTTCAAGTCATGTAAGACCATTTAAAATTTATATAATGCTATTTAATATGATATCATATAATAATTTTTTCTTTTTTAAATGAAAAAAATTTATTTTTTGATTAAATTATGATGATAATGACCGTATCATGTATATTTGATTTAGCAAGACGGTATTTTATCGCTCCAAAAATTATTTGAAAAGAGTGCGGTTATTCAATAGTATTGAAAATGTAAACTTGAATTATTATTTTTAAATTTGTACCTATGAAATTTTCCTTGATATTGATATCTTTAAAGTACATATGTTAATATTTATTAAAACTAAAGCGTTTAACATTATGGTAACGAACTTTAAAAAAAAAAATCTTTGCTTGTTTTTTTTTTTTTTGTGTTTGATAATCTCGTATAATTGTAGGATAATTTATGTCGAATGTTTTTTCTTGATTATAAATTTTTATCGAACGCTATACTTTTATCTTTGATATTAATTCTATCTGTCGACATGATATTCATACACGGTTAAATTGTTAAAAAGTTTTATTTGTATACAATAGATATTTTTAAAATATAAAATTTAAACCTATTTCCAAATATTATTAATAAATACTGATTTATTAATTTTCTTAATTTTAGGATGCCGATGGTTTTACATCCCGTTCACGTGGTTTAAATTTACCAAAATTGGGACTTGATTCACCAACTGTAAGTGTCAAGACTTCTTTTCCAAATCATATTCATCAAATAAAAAAAAAGTACAATATAGTATGAGAAGAAAGAAACTTAAAAAAAATCATTTAACATTTCTTTTTTAAACAAATTTAAATTATTTTATTTTTTTCACATATTTCATTAATGAATTTTCGAAAGATTAATACATTAATTTCATTTTGAATAAAATTTCAAAGCATTTACACATTATTTCTGAATATAAATTTATACAATATTCATCACAAATTAAAATTAAATAACATTTTTTTTTTAATTATCTTTTACATTTTTTATATATACATGCATACAATTTCATTAATTTTTAATTTTTATCATAAAGTTATGCTTTTGTTTTTATATTCAAAAAAAAATATTATGCTTTAAAAAAAAAACACAAAATTTTATTTATAATTGATTTCAAAAGAAAGCAAAAAAGAAAAAACTATTTTGTAAATAAAAATTTTAAATACATATTTATAAATTTTATATTTAAAAGTTATGTTTTTTAAAATAATCATTTTAAATAAATCAAAAATTATATAAAATATTTGTTTAAATAAAAAAATATAATTGAATATTACTGAGAAATATTGTAATATTTTCAAAAATTAATATTTTGGTATAATTTTAATTTATAAAATTTGCAATGAAGAGCAAATTAATTATAATGAAATTTACAATTTTGTTTCTAAAGCTTTTTAATACAATTTTACAATTACGAATCTACTAAAGTGTTCTTAAATCTACTAATACTGTAATTAAATCATAAAAATTAAATTTAAACAATAATTACAAAAATTTTACTTAAGGAAGATTTCTAAATTAATTTGATTACCATATTAATACATTCTAGAACACAAGGTGAATAAATTTTACATTTATTTAATATAAAATATTTATATAAAAATCATTTTAATTTTAATTATATCAGTAATATTACATTATAATTATTGATTTATTATAAAATAATAGATAATGTAGCATTGATTTAATTTCAAATAGTTTTTAAGAATTTCATTTTTTCATTTTATTTTAATTTTTTTTTTATTGAATTAAATTTAAATAAAATTATAAATTAAAAAAAACAACAACAACAAATTGTTATGTACATTCATATCACACAAAATTGTTTATTGTTGATTATATTTTTGTCTTCCCATCATGCTATCAATTTTCCATAAAAAAAACAAAATTAAAAATATATAAATATATATATATATATATATATATAAAATTCACCTACTCTACCACCCATCCGTTTACAGAAATTGGAATATCTAAACCTTGTAAGTAGTTATGTTCATACAAAATAATCTACATTAATTTCTGTAGTTTATGAAAAAATTATTTAACTTTATTTTTTTTTTTTTATTGTTTGGCCTATACAAGTTTTCTGACTTTATGTGTTTACTCTTTTATAATTTCTACTAATAAAACTGGTCTTTTTATCCATTTAATTTTATATAATTTCTAGAGTTCGCAATTATTTTTTATTTTTAATAATTTTTTGTTTAATGTTTTTAATGATTTTTTCTAAAAATTTAAATATCCACCCTAATTTTTTTCTGTTCTCTTAATTTTCTCAGAATTTCTTTATTTTCTTTTCATTCAAACTCAAACAAATAAAAAGTTAAAGTGAAAAAATAGTTGTGTCGAAAAATTTAAAAATTAGAACTTAGTGTTATTTTATTTTGATATATTATTACGGTCTAAATGAGAAACAAATTTTTGAAATATTTATGTATTTTGTATATATGTAAAAAATTTAGCTAAAATTTTAGAAGAAAAGAAATTTTAGTAAATTAAGGAAAACATCTTCGAGGAATTCTACTTGGAGTATTTCACTTTTTTAAAAGCATTTAGTTTGACTTTTAAATAATAAAGTAATTTACACTAAACAAGTAAATTGATCAATATTTAATATAACAAAATCAAACAGATTAATAAATTCTGGTCAATTTTATAAAATTTTGAAAAAGTCCAAATAAATTTTATATTTTAAGGCACAAAGTATATAGTTAACAAAGATCAGCAACATCATGTAGAATTGATATAAAACTAATGCGATAATTGCATATTATTTAAATTCCTCCCCATATTATTAGTTTTTATGCTTTTATTATACTTTTTAGTCAAAAATTATATTATGGAACATACTCTTCTGTTTGAAAAAGAAGTTTTCAAAGAAATCTTAATTTTCAATCATTATATTTAATTAAATAGTTTGTAAAAAAGTTATATTTTAATGGAAAACTAGTTTAATGTTATTTAAATGTAGTTATTTTTCTTTATTATAGAGGAAAAATCAATCTGATTTTAAAAGTTCTAATTGTTTTCTATATACAACACAAATTACAATGTTTTATATTATTTTTAATTTCTATTTAACTTTTATAAATTTTGTTTTTATGTATACTACACTAATATTAAATCACAATAAAAAAATATATTTTATCGCTTTTCTTTACAACCAAATTCATTTTTCAAACGCACATTCTTGTAACCATTCAAAAAAAAAAATTATTTTTAAATATTTTAATTTTAATATTGGATTTTCGTCTTGGCTTTTTCAAATAAATATCCAGTCACTGTAATACGATATCTAAAGAAAATACAACAAAAAAATAATTTTGATATTATTAAAATTTTAGGCTACACCGCATTTACCATCAAAAAGAAGATCAATTGCACGTAAGGTTCGACCTCAATCAGTTGTTGAAAACTTAAGTTTAGGTCATATTCCTGATTTACTTGAATCACCATCATCACATCGAAGCTCAAATACCTCACCAGGTGGTGGTGCCGGTGGAAATGATCGTGATGACGAATGCTGCGATTCTATAACAGAGCTCCCGAGTGCATCGTTTCAATTACAACATTTAGTCAAGGGAAGACCAAAACGTGCTAAAACACGAGCGCCAACACGCCCTCATTTAGCTGAAGTTGCAACAAGAGAATTTGGTGAAGGTTTAGAACAATTCTTTCGACCTGGCTCAGTAACACCAACCACATTAACACCATTAGTTTCACCTACCTCAGAAGAATGCAGTTCATTAAGTTTTGTAGATAGTCCAACGATGAGCCGCGATGAGAATGGTAAATTCCAGCATTTAACATCAGAAGAAACAACACCGATTTTAGAGGAAAGAAAACCAATTAAATTGGATAGAAGCTCTCCATTACTAAAAGGTAAATTAATTTATTATTATTAAAAATTATAATTAAAAGTAATTTAATACAATTCATTTTACATAAAACTAAGGCGTGGCATGGACAACACGGTCTCGATCTTCAGATAATTTAGAAAAATATTCCCCGTTAATTGGAAGAAAATCACCACTAGTCAAAATGAAAACTGAAGGTGGTCCAGATGATCGATTATCTGTACCGGTTAACAGTAACGACGATAAAGTTCGTTCACCTAGTAATGATTCTATAAAAAATCATATGAATACTGATTGTGTTATTGTTAAAACGGGCAATGGTATTGTAAGAACACCAATTGTTTTACAAAAACCACGACCATGGTCAGTTGTTGGTAATGAACCTAAATCTGGAGATTTTAATTCAGAATCGAGTAAAACAACCCCAGAAAAATTAGATGAAGGTAAATTTTTTAAATAAGATTCAGATTATGAATTAAAATAAAACATTCTTATAAAATTATTACAATTTTAGATGTTGATGTTGTACCTTTTGGGCAATCAGGTGGTGGATCTATTGTTGGTATTAGCCCAGGAACAGCTTTATCAACCGGTGGAAGTATAGTTGGCATTACACCAGGTAAATTAACTAATATCAACAGTGATTCAAATTTTTAATTTGTCAACTGTTAATAATAAAGTTAAATAATATACGTATTTTTGTAATTAAAATTTTTTGTGATTAATAACATTTAAGGTGCTTGTCTTGAAAAAAAGTCAGTAAGAGAAATGGCAGCTGGCCTCAATAGAATGGGTAAGAAATATTACATTAAAAAGTTCTTTTTAAAAAAATATTCTTAAATCTATCAATTTATATTTGAAAAAGACCAAAAGATTAATATGTACTACTCTTATTAATTTATCTTCTTAAAAGAAAATTTTCAAAAAAAATGCACATATATATGTAGTAGATAATAATATAATTTTTTTGTTATGTTTAAAAACAAAAATTATTACTATTATTTCTTTTTATATAAAATGTAATATTTATGATAATATTAAATATACAAATATGTAGGTATAGTTTTTTATGGTTGAAAATAAAGAACAAATCCAATAGTAAATAAATAAATAGAAGAAACTCAATACTCAATCAAAATGTTTTCAGACAAATTTAATTTTCTTTTAATTGATTTCTTAATTTTAAGAATATGCTTAAAACTTCTATTTTCTCCAAAATAAAAAATGTTTAAACTCATTTTTGACTCGAATGAAATCAAAAAAAAAAAGAATTAAGAAAGCAAATATTAATTTTTTCATTTCTAATCCATTTTTTATTTGAAATTTCCAGTTTCAAAATTTAGCAAATTCAAGCTATAATTTAATATAGCAGCTTGTTATTTTAAAATGACTAAATTCCTTTTCATAAAATTAATATTTGCTTTAAAATATTTATTAAAATTCTCTAATTATTTTCTTAAATCTAGTTTCTCTTTTTAGATAAACTAAAACTCACTGAAATACTTTCAAAATTTAAAAAGAAAAAAGTTTAAATCTTCGAGCAAATTATTGTATTTCACATTACTGAAGGAAGTTCGGAATGTAAAGTTCTGAATATACCGAAACTAGAAAATATTTTTGATTTTTTTTTTCCAATTAAACCCCTATAATTAGTTCATAAATTAATTTGAAATTACAAGAAGGCAAAAAAAAAAAATTTTTTTATTTAATTTTTCAAAGCATGAATTTTTCTTTTTGTAAATTTTCAAAAAATGATCTTGTGCATGTTTTGTTTTATTTTTATTTTTGTCATAATTTTATATCATAATGATTTTTAATTTGATTTTACTTTTGATTTATTTATTTATTTTATTTCCATATTAATTTTTGTATTATTTTTATTTTAATTTTTGCATCATAATTTTTTTTTTTTATTTTGGTTAAATATTTATAATATAATAATTAGAACTACCAAAAAAACCTCAAGTTCTTCCACGTTCAAAACTTAATAATTGCATAAGCGCACAAAGAAATTCAAATGGAAATTCTGAAAGTTTATTAAAATCACATATAACAACTACAGAAACTATAAGCAGTTCTAATACTACTAGTACTACTTCTAATACTTCTACTACAATAACTTCAATGTCTTCAGTTCATTCTAAAACGAAAATAACAACAATGAATGGAAAAGAAAATAATAATGATGATATTAAAAATTCTGATAACCCAAATGTTGTTATGGGAAATGTGAAAAGAATAGCCGGTAAACCAATATCATCGATATTTGAGGTTTGAAACTGTTTTAAAATTTTTTGTTTTTTTTTTTCTTTAATTTTTTGTTTGTTTGTCTTTTTTTTTTATTTTAATTAACTATTAATTTATTTTATTTTTTTAAATACAATATAGTTATTTTAAGTTGTAGTTATTGCAAATCACTGCATGTAACATTTATTACTAATCATAAATATCAAATTATAAATTATGTATGCAATTAAAATTAATCAAATTCATTATGCACTTATTATTACTTCTATAAATTATTCTATATATATATATATATATTATTATTTCTGTTATTACTAATAAATAACAATTTTTATTTACTTAATAAAAAATTAATATGCTTTTTTGTATTTTCGAAAGTAAGTTATATATGTAGTTTTTAAAGTGAACAAAGAATAAATAAATTTATTATTCTTTATTATTTACTAAAAAAAAAACATTAATTATTATTTTTTAAGTTTGACACATCAAATCCATTTATTCATTTAGAACTTTCCGATATTTTATTTTAAACCGTAATTGTCATTTAATATTTCATTTTTCATTTTCAAAAAGATGCTTTTAAAAAATTAATTTTTTCATTAAAAAAACGTTTTATAATGATTTAACAAAATAAATTTTATTTTTTCTTTTATGTGGCAATTGTTGTTAACTAAAAAAATAATTACACAGGAGACATTAGTTGAAGGTCTCCAAAAGTCAGCTTTTCGTCGAACTATGATTAGAGATTCAATACAAACCCATTATACAAGTGAAGATGCTGTCGACGTTTAGAATAAATTCATAAAAAATATATACATACATAAAATTAGAAGAAAAAAAATAATTAATAAAAAAGGAAATTTAGAAACAAAAAGAACAAATAAATTAAATAAATATTTAAAATTATATATAAATATTTAACAAAAAAAAAGGCGATGTTAATTTTGAGAAATATCTACATACAGTAAAAATACAATATTATTATTGAATAAAATAAAAAAATTAATAATTAATATTCAATTAGGTAAAAAATTAGAAATATTATTTGTTGTAATTTATAAAATATTTAAATAAGTAAAGGAATAAAATCGGAAATCCATCATTTTCATAAAAAAAATAAAAAACAGAAAAAATAATTTTTTATCTTTATATTATTTTAATTATAGTCTTTTAAAAATTATTATAATTATTTAATAAATTCAGGCTTTGTCTTTGAATTGTAAATATTTAAGTTTTACCCATGTCATGTAACAATATGAAAATGTTTTGATTCTATAGCATATTATAAAAAAGACATTTTACAATAATAAGATTAAAATCAATAGATTCCATATTATATTGTATATGGATATATCGAAATATCTATCATGAGATTTTAATATTGCAGGATACAATTTTAATTAACTTATACATAATTACTTAAAAAGGATTTCCGATTCGAAATTATTAAATAAAATTTTGGAAATAAATTACTGTATCCTTAATCGTTTATTATAATAAATTAGAAAAAAAAACTTTTCCAGTACCAAGGAGAAAAGGAGTCACGAGATTGTTTCAATCTCATAATTCTTTAGTATGTATTTTGTTTGGTTATTAAACCTTTATTTTTAATTTATTGACTTTTTTTATTCGGCTGCGCCTAATTACTTAAGTGCAGTTTGATAAAATTCTATTCAATTCAATTTTTTTTGTTTTGGCTAAAGTGATTTAAAAAAAAAACTTGTTTTAAAATATAAATAATTTTGGTTTTAATAAAAATAAATTTAATTAAAACAAAAAATTTTTTTTAACCCCCAGAAGTGTGCAATTTTCATAATGTAAGGCAAAATATTTAAACGATATCAGTTTTATTAATGCAAAAGCAATTTTATTGATACACGCATGATTTTCAATTAAGTAAAAAATTATCAAAATAATTTTTTAAAAAATCAAAATTTTTAAATTAACACTATAATAATATGTATTTTAATTGAGAAAAGTAGAAAACAAAAATATGTAATAAACGATTAAAAGCGCCCACTTTATGAAGAAGTATAAAAAAAATCAAAAATTTTTATTGCAAACGATTATTGTGCAATTACTTTTTATAAATATAATTTTACACATATAATTTTTTAATTATATTAATTTTTTTTTTATTTTTTTTTTAATATATTTTCTAAATTTAATATAAACCGATTTTTATAGTAATTAATAATAGAGTAAAATAAAAAATAATTAAAATTGAATATTATTATTATAATAAAAACCAATATTTAAAATTTAGAACTAAAAAATTAAATAAAGAAAATGAAAAATAATTAAAAACATTTAACCAAATTTTTTAAGTGCCAATTTTCAATTTAATTTAATTTAATAATTATTATAGAAAAAAAAAAACAAAATTTTTGATTAATTATATATTTAAAAAAAAGTTGGAATTAATTTTTTATAAAAAATAAATAAAAATAAAATTGCTAAAATCTTTTTTTTTTATACACAATATTTTTATTATAGACGCATAATTTTAAATTAATTAATATACAATTTTGAAGAAATCAAAAAATCAATCAAAGTCATTTAATAAGATTATAGTCAAAAAATTATTATTACATAATAAATATTTGTAGTCAAAAGAAAAGAAAATAAAAAATAATAATTATAATTTTAAAAAATAATGTGTAATTTGGGATGATAAAATGTTAATTAATATAAATTAAATAATTAAGGCTATTTATAAAATATTTTGAATTATTATTATTTTTTGTTTTCTAGAAGAAAATATGAATAATAAATGATAATTAATTTTAATTATTGTATTTAATTAATAAAATATAATTAAAATCTTTAAAAGCGTTTTTTTTTTGTTCTTTCTCATTTAAATAACTAAATAATTAAAATTCTGATAAAATTTATCATTAATTTAATATCTTTCACTTGATTAAAAGGCTATTATATGTAATATTATATTAATTATTGTAATATACAATATTTTTGTATTATTTTTTAATACATAAGTACATACATATATAGCATAAATTGCATTTTGTTTGTAATTTTCACTCGCTTTTTGTACCATTTTTATACTTTTATTAAGTAATTTTTTTTAAATTTCCGTAAATAATTTTTTTGTAAAATTATATACAAATAATATAGCTATTACAATATCATTGTATATTTTATTATAAATCAAACTATTTTACCATAGTATTTTATTAAACTTTAAAAATGGAAAAAAAAAATAAAAGCAAAAAGTTTTCATAATTCAAAAACAAAAACTGCTGTTTTGTAATAATTATATAAAATGTATAATCTAATTTCTATAATAATTAATAATAAGTTATTAAAGAATCAAATTTTTAATTATTCACAAAATTTTATTCTAAAACAAATTCCTTTTTTCATAATATATTATAAAACTATGTTAATGAAATTATTTTTATGTCTATAGCTTCAAAATTGCAGTAATTAAAATATTAAGAAACAATTACAATTTATTTAAACTGAAATTTCTATTAATTGTGTACTAAATCAGTTTTGAAATCAAAATATTTTCATCATCCGAAACAATTTAATTTATATTTCTTGTAAATTTAATTTATATTTCTTTTTAGATCGCATATAGATTTAACAGATTTAATTAAAAGAAAAATACATTTTTTTTCCCTTGTTCTTTTAAACATTGAAGTTTAAAATTTAAATAATATTTTATTCTAAAATCTAATTAAATAATATATGAATATTAATATTGAATTAATTCTTAAAATTATAAAAAAAATTAAAATATTCTATTAATTGTATTGAACAAGTGAAAAAATTAAAAAACAACAGTAATAAGCAAAAAAAAAAAAAGAGCCTGATCTATGTATTTTTAAGTAATTATTTTTTTTACAATTATAAAAAAAAACAAAAACATTTTATAAAATATTGTAAATTTATTAAATATTTTTTTAAAATTTTTATATCCTGTGATTATTATTATATTTTAAAATTTTCAGTTTTTGCTTTTAAAATTTTAATGTTCTTTCTTTTTTTTTTTTTTTTAAATATTAATTATGTGAAAAAAGACAAGTATTATGTAGAAAGAAAAAATTAAGTAATAAAAAAAAAACAGAAAAAAAAATTTAAATATTAAAATAAAATTATTTTTTATACTCTTGTAATTTAAGTAAAGGTTTTTGTTTTCTTTCAAGAATAAAACTAAATGTAAAGTAAAGCAAAACAATATAAAAATTTGATATGAGTACATATATGTATAAATAAAGACATTATTAAATCCGAAAAAAAAATAAAATATCATAAATAAGTGTACCTATTTTTTTAATATTCAACAATATTAGTACATCAATTTAATTAAAATTTTAATTTAATATTTTAATAACATTTTATTCAACAATTTTTGTAGTTTTTTTCTCTTATTTAATGATTTACTATATAAAAATCACAAATTAAAAATATTATATTACGTTTAAAAATAAAAAAAAAATATTAAACGAAATTTTAAAAATATCTTAAATATTAATCTAAATTTTCATTTTCGATTTAATTTTTAATACTTATACCTACATTCATTTTTTAAATTAAATAAAAAAAAGTAATAAGAATATAATTTATAAAAACCCAAAAGTCCTTACAATTTTAATTGAAATTTAATACAAATTTAAAGTAAATTAAAATTTTTATTTGAGAACTGTTATTGACAAACACACATAAAATAATTAAGGATTTTAAAAAAATATTAAATTATAAAAGATTTTTTCAAAACGGTGGCCCGGTCCGACAACAAAGGTAAGAAATAACTGCCAATTATTTTTATAATTTTATAGAATTCTATTTAAAAAAAAATCGTACTGTTTAAAATATGTGTACTTAGTTTGTATTTTAGTTTATATTGAAAAGTATTAAGACATTCAAATTTTCTCCTTCAATTTTGTTCTCAATATTAAAAATTTGTAAAAAAATCAACACGAGAATACAATTAAATGAAAATAATATTGGGAAGCAATAAATAAGAAAATAGTTTTTCGTTTCTTCTCCTAACATTCTTAAAATTTTTAAACGAATCAGGGCCCAATTCCTCCAACCACTCTTTACTTTTTCTTAAGTTTTTTCTAAAAGTTTTTCTAAAAGTTGTTGGTGCTATAAGGCCCTGATTAATAAAAAAGTATGTCTTAAATTATTGTTCAACTAAATTTCGAATAACTTAATTCCAGTCAATAAAAAAGTAATGAATATTTCAAATAAAATTATTTATGTTGTTTAAAAGTTTTTTTAAAAGAGAAAAATAAATTTCTTTATTCTATTCTATAATTTCTATTTTCAATATAAAAAAGCCATAAATGTACACATTTTATTATCAAATATGTATACTTATAAAAATTCGTATTAAAAAAGCATTTTTCGAAAAAAAAATATAAAAACAACAACGGTATGTATAAAATTATATTGGATAAAACTACAGAATAAATTAAAAGATAGAAAAAAAAACGTAATTAATAAAAACAAAATTCAGTTTAAAATATTAATTAAAAACGATTACTTACGGACTATTTGAATTAGATTAACAATAAATTACAAGTTAAAATAATAAATGTAAATTTATATAACAAAAAAAAAAAAAAGAGAACAATCTATAAAAAAAATAAATAAAAACACATTAGTTTTTAAGATTACCATAACTCTTAAAAATTTGAAAAAATAAAAATGAAAAATAAATAATTTTAGTAAGTCAAACAAATAAATAATATTTGAGAAAGCTTAAATTAGAATTAATTGAAAAATGGACGAAATTATATAGATAAAATAAAATAAAAAAAAATCAAATAATGCAGAAAAATTTTATTGAAGTTTGACAATGCAAAAGAAAGAAATCAAACTAAAAAATTAAATTAATTTTTAAGTCGTACAATTAAAATTAAAGTTAAAAACAGTATAAGAAAACACACACAAAACAAAAAAAAAACAAAAAGGAACAAAAAAAAAATTTTGAAAATCCGAACGTATTTATTATTTTAAGAAATTACAAATGAATTATTTAAAAAAAAAAAGAAAATTTCAAAATAAAGTTCTTTAGAAAAAAAATATATTGAAATAAATATTTTTCTTTTATTTAATTATGTGCATTAAACTAAGAAAAAACCATTAACAATCTAAACTGATATTGACAAAATGCCCGACAACATAATGAGGAACATTAACTACAGAAATCTAAAATTTATATGCAAAAGACAAAGGCTATATTAGCGCTTCCATCCATCAATCCAAATCAGTGTTTATATTATTTGGGCTTATTCTGAGTATCGAATCATTAAGTGATATTGATATTTATCGTAAAAGCTTCAAAAACTTTATTCTATATATTGGTTCTATATTGGTTCAATAATTAGACTAAATCCCAATTATTGATATCAGCCATACTAACTTATTTTCATACAGCTGTTAAATTATAAATAAGACGTTATTTGTCCAAAAGCTACTTAATATTTGTTTTTTTTTTTCGAGAATTACCTTTGTGTATATAGTTTATAATTTTACAAATTATTTTAAATTAAAAAACATAAAACTAACTAGCAGGTTTCTGAAAAAGTAGTTGTAATTACAAAAATTGTCTTCTGTGTATAACTACAAATTATATGTACAATGGTTTTGCTCAATTGAACATAATCTTCATTAAAAGATAGTATAAAATTTTATTAAAATAAATTAGGGATGAAAACACTCTGAAGACATTTGAAAACATTCTGAAAATGTCTATTCCAAATAATTTCAATCGAAAAGGATTTTTTTTACCTTTAAATTTATAAACAACAAACGAAAATTAAAAATCTAAACAAAATTTAAATTTTTTTCCGTTTCTTTTTTCGTGCAAAATTTTACCGTTTGAGCATGTTACAATTACAAAAGATGGAGCTCGTGTATTATTTGCGAACATTTGCGGTTTTGACCGTACTATTTTGACAATTCGTTGCCCATTTGATTTAAAGTAATTTCGTTGCCGGTTACTTTCGATTTAAATCAAATGGGCTAAATGGCATTCTTGTGGGTAATGATAATCTACCGTTTTGTTCGAATCGGAAATCACTTTCGAAAATACAAATAATATATTCTTTATATCCATTTAAATACATATATTTTTGTTTTAATAGAAAATATGAAGCTCCATATCAAGGATTTGTTTTCTGATTTCGTCTCGATACAAAAGCTGAGATAAATAAAATCAAAAAGTAAAAAAGGAATTTAGTACACCATAACTAGAATTACGATATATTTGCAAATTTTTTTTTTTTAAATGTGGTTTTTCTTTTCATTTCGATTACAAAAACTCGGTACACTAAGAACTTAATACTTTTAAATAAATTCCTTAAAGATGTCTCTGTACACTATTTTCATTTTACCCTAGATTTTCAAAATTGTCACAGCTGACTTATGTAAACACAAAATTTGTTTATTTATTTTCAAAAATAAATTTAATGTTTTGTATTTTACAAACAACGCAAGTTAAATTTTTAAACAAAATATTGAGGTAAGTGCTACTAGAAAATAAAGGTACCTAATGTTAATTTTTATTAACATTAATTGAAATAAGTTCACATATTTTATTTCTAATTTTAGATTATTCAATTAAGTCAAATTGGAAATCAAATGGAAACGTATTAAATGCATATTTTGGTTAAGACAACTTTATAATTGCCAAAAAAGAAAACTTTAATTGTATAATGGGGTCTAATACTGACCCAATTGTTTTAAGTTTTCATGAAAGCTTATTACGAGAAAGTGACATCCAATTGCTTCAAGGTCCACATTGGCTCAATGATCAGATAATTTCATTTTATTTTGAATATTTAGAAAAATTCAAATATAAAAACAATTCTGATATTTTGTTTATATCACCGGAAGTAACGCAATGCATTAAAATTGTTCCTGATTCAGATTTGCATATATTTTTATCGCCCCTAGAAGCTGAAAGAAAATCATTTATATTCTTTCCATTAAACGATAATGATAGTCATATGGCAGGTGGTTCCCATTGGAGTTTATTAGTATTCTCAAGGCCAGAAAAAATTTTTTTACACTTTGATTCATCTGGAAATTCTAATTATTCACATTGTCAAATATTTGTAAAAAAGCTAAAAGATGCCTTAAATTGTAAAAACGCGTTGTGCAAACCAATGAAATGTTTGCAACAAACCAATGCATATGACTGTGGTATTCATGTTTTGGCAATGGCAGATCACATAGCGAGCCATATTAATCGTTTTGAATGTGTAAATGGAATTGAATCTTTAAATCATGATGCTATCGTTCGTAAACGTAAAGACATTTTAAAAATAATTTCTTCTTTAGGAGGCAAAGTTTACTAAAAATTTTTAGTTTTATTAATTTATTGAAAACCTTCACTTGAAATATTTTTGTTAAATAGAAAAATTAATTAAACTTGAAATATATTTGTTTTTAATATAATTATTAAAGTTAAATACCATAATTCTCTCAATAATTATTTTATGTTGTAAATAATTATACAGTTTTCCTTATATAATTAAAACTAACTAAGAAGTAGAAATTTTATTCACTGTTTTATTACATATTGCCTTAGATTTTTGTAAAGATTTACAAGATATTTAACACAATTTTCTTAATGGCAGACATTTATATGCACCCGCATTTATCAATTAAAATTAAATTTTGAATATTCAATAAAAAAACGGTATACAAAAATTTACTAGAATCGACAAAATAAAAAAAAAAATGCCCAAAATCTTTAAAGAGCTCCTTAAAAATTTATATAACAAATTTTTTAAAACTCTCTATTTGCAATTATACTATCATAATGTAGACCCGTGTAAAATATAATCCATGTAACTAAAAAGCCAGCAAAAGATGTCATAAATCCTTCCTTAACTAACTCCCATGCTCCACCATATTCTTCTTCATCAACTGATTGAAAGTTAATTGAATATAGATAAACAATAGCACAACTGATACCAGCGAACCTAAAACGCGAATAAGCCTATACCATAACAATGAACAATAATATACAATTTCTTACAATACTAAGCCCAGGAAGCCCTTAAGTGGTATCACACCCCATATTATTCCTAAAATTATTCCAATAACTTGTCTCGACCAATAAATCACATCTAGAAACTCGTCCTAAAAATATATGTGTTATTAAAATTTCTGCATAATTAATTTCAATTGACATACTTTATCAGGCCATTCTGATGACTTAGTTACAGCACGGGAAAATATGTCTTTCAGTGATTTTGCTTTAAGATTATGACCTTTTTCTGAAATGCTGTTCTTATTAGACATATTTTTGAAATTCCAATATAAATTTTCACTTAGAAAATAGTATTCTATATGTAAGAAATCAAAATTACTATAAAAAATTTATAAAACGTTCTTTCCACATGATTATTAATGATGATTTGATTATGAACCAAAAGTGACGTCGAATGTTGTTAAAATTTTTGTGACATTTTACCTTAAAAATAAAATTTTGGTGTTGCCTGGATGTTTTCTTTATATGGTTTGGTAACTATTTTTGAATGAGGCTGTAAAATTATAATTGAAAGGCACCGTTTACAATTTTATCGTAAATACACATTTGGAGACAGATAATGATTAAGTAAATGTTGATGTGTGCGTTACGAATTAGTGAATTTAATTGACTTGGTGCTACTTATACGCTTATTTAGACTACTTAGAGAATACTGAATGACAGTATGAGTATGGGTTTTATTAAATCAATAAAATTTCAATTTATTTTAGTTTGCGTTTTGTGTGTGGTGAGGTAAGGTAAAGGTTTAGCAATAATTTGTAATCAATTACTATTACTACAGTCATACTTAGTAATCAATTACTAAGTATTTACTACAGTTGAAGAGTGCTCATCCTTCACATTTTTTTTTTACTTTTCGTAAGTATCTAAAATATATGTACAAAGGAAAACCACTAGCTGATTTTGTAAATACCCTATAATGTCCAACTCCCTTAGGGATATCTCCGGCTTTGGGATTGGGACGGGGATATTATAGACGGGAGAGTGGGGGGGCTACAATAAGTCAAAAATGGCTTGGGGGGTTACTCCTGTCCCACTCGGTTCCCTTGGAATCTACAATCTACAATCTACAATCTACAAATACCCTATAATCCGTCGCAACTTTTGTTAAGTAAATTTGGGTTTACGTAACGTTTACTTTAAAAGCGAGGATAAACATAAAACCAAACGTTAATTTTTTTGTGCACGTTTAGGTGCATATTTTGCATTTTGACACTCTACTATTTATACAAAAGCATTTTTGACAAATTTTAATCTAGGTTATATTACCACTAAATTTGTATTTTGTAAACAGAAACATACTGACGCAAAATTGTTTTTGAGTTTATTATTTATTGCTTAAAAGCATTTTAAATTTTCTCAGTTGCAGACAACGGACGCAGTTTAACAACTTGAAATGTTTTTGAAACCGAATAATATTCGAATAATTAGTAAATGTATATTTGTGTGATATTATTATAATTTGAGAACAATTATGTAACTCGCTTTTTAAATTAGGGACTTCTAGGGAAATATCGTCATGCACTATCTTCTACAATAAAAATAGCAATCATTGGAGGGAGTTAGGTCATAATCCAAATTCATTTGGCCCTTTGACAAACCTTCCAGATTATACGTATATGGATGGTAGACCTACACCATTGGGAGTATGTAATTTGTTTTAAATATAAAAGAATTTATATAATCCAAAAATTGGTAATGTTTTGCAGTGCAATATGAAAAAACGGCTGGATAAACAAAAGGAAATAGCAAAAAAGATTGTAGATCTAAATAAAGAACTAGCATTTGCTAAGGATCGACATATCCGATTACAAAAAGAAAAATCTGAGCTTATTGAGAAACAAGTAGCGGCGCAATTAAAACCAAAAGGACATTTGTTAAAATAAACTTATTTACTTATCTAGTTAATTTTAATAATTATGATTCAATATTTAAATAAAAATATGTACAAATTATTGAATTTGTTATAACTAAGGCATGTGCATTTATTACATAAAGTTGATAATTGACGATTCATTCCACCTTAATGAGTCCCTTTATTTCTTGCCGAAGAAAATTAAATTGTAGTCTCATATCTTCGTCTGTATATTCTGGATATTCCCATGCTTTCGCATACACTAATAATTTATTTTTATTCTGACAATGAGCAATTTCAGCTAAAATTCAAGAGCAAAAATTATACCAATTTTTAAGAAATTTTCGTTTTGAATTAACAAGAAAATCACAAAAACAAATTATGTAAATAAAATACACAAATAAGTACCTGTAACTGTTCGTTTGATTATAATTTCCTTATTGTACATTTCATATACTTTTTCTATAAATTCTTGTAAATTTTCTATACTCCACGTTCTAAAAAAGGTTTCATTTGAGTTTTTATTTAGAAGTACTAATCCTTTTGTTTGCTTTATAAGAGGTTCTGTAATTTTTATTACATCTTCACAAATACGTAAAATAATAGCTAACTTATCACAATATTGTTGTAAATTATCCGGATACAAGCTGAGTTCGGATGCTGGAATCTTTGTTTCAAAAGCTTTTGTTTTTAGTATTGCTATGGATGAACATAAGGATGTGCCCCGTTTTTGAGCATCTTCCCACTTATAATAATTTTTAATCAAAACAATTATTATAGATTCTAGCTTACTAAAAATATCTTGTTTTTCTCGGCTTTTAGATGGTGATATAAAAGCTAAATGGTTTAAAATAAAATTACATATGCATACGGTTTTTTTAGTAGAATAGACTACTAGGTAGATTACCTTTTATTGGAAAAATATTTTTTGGTACTTGATCCAACATGTCAACTAAATCACTATCTGTTGCCATTCCTGCTATTTATATTTTCTGCATTTAAAATTTCATTAACCATACACAATTATTGTGTACACTTCCACGGTTGAGTGTCACTATCAGTACATTTTGGTTATTTGAGGTTATGTTCTAAATTAGTTCATAAAATTATGTACATCTATATGTGCATATGTATATATATTATAATAATTATTAACAATAACATTCTTTTTAATGTCGCTGAATAGATTATGTATTGTGCTGGAACTCTGCTCCAACAATTTCAAGAACCTCAATTTTAAAAGTATTGTAGTATTTTAACATCATGTAGGTATGTATATACAAATACAGGTAGGATATACAGATTTGCATTATGGAGGTAGTATATACAGATTTGTAAAAATTAAATCTATTAACATTTAGATATTTATACAGTTTATTTACATAAAAATTAATAATATAAGATAGTTCTACAGATAATTTAATTATTACTTCTTGCTCTAATAAATAATATAGTGTGCAGTTTGTACGAAGTTTTATCATCTAATGCAAGGGTGATGCTAATTTACCACTTGATTGTGCTGCTCTTGGATTTCCTTTTGCTCGACATTCATTTACTTGTCGTTGAAGTTGCTCTTGAAGAGCTAATAGCTCTCGAGTTCTTCGATATATGGCATCTTGGGGCCGCATACTTGGGTTCCATCTGCAATACAAACTTTTCCATAATAAAATATGCCTCATACTGGCAACTGGTTTTAAAACTAGTTGAACACCGTCTGGATTAGCATAATAAAAAGGATTACGATAATCGTCAAGTGAAGAATTTATAAATGACCACAGAGACACAGTTTTATGTTTAAGGTCTTCTTTGACTCTTTCTGCTTCACTATTAAACAGAAAAGTACCGAATCTGCATGAATATAAGTGATCCAAGATTGTTATGAGAAAATGTTCGTTAAATTCAAATGCGTTTGGAAACTGCTTGCTAACTTGCCATACACTATCAATGAATTGTAAAAATACTGGACTACGATCTGCATCTGAATGCCGATTATCTCCGTGTCCTATACGTTGCTGAAATTTATGCCCAAAGCTCAACCATTCTTTTTCAATAAGAACTTCAAATCCCTTCAGAGTTCTATAATATGGATCAAGTAATAACATTGAAAGTGCTGTTAATTGCGCTGTACGATCCCAGCCATCAGAACAGTGAACCAAAACAGATGTGCTTAAAATTTCTACTTTTTCAACTATGCGAACCGCGCCAGCCATGATACATTTGATATGTTTTAACCATAAGGTATTTTCTATAGCGGTTAACCATTTTTGCTCGTCAATTGTAGGATAACAGACTTCTTTTAATTTTCGTAAACTTTCTCTCATTACATGAATGTTGTGTATGTCCAAAAAAAATATTTCAACATTTTTATATGTTTCTTCAGACTCATATCCACCACCTTTTGCTTTATTTGCAATAGCATTTGCACTAGGTCGAGCATCCATTATACAAAGTTTGTCAGATTGTGCATTAGCTTCCATAATCAAATTTAAATAATGCTCGTCATCAGAGCTCCTTTTCCCGCTAACACCAACCAAAGGTTGGGAACACCTAGTAATAGTCGCTTGTGTTTCAGGATGGATCCATGATAAAACTGGAAGACGATTACGGGATCGAAATTGTGCAACTTTCCTTAATAAATCTTCATTTGCAGCTTTCGGTACTGCCCACACTGCTGGATAGCTATCACAAAACGTATAACTTTCATTAATTTTTGTTATTTTCCAAGGATCGCTCGTCATATTTATACCCATTCTTCGAAACTCAGCTATGGGTTCGTAGACCGACCATCCGTCTGTAGGAAACTGTTCTGGATTCGAAAAAGCAAATAATTTTCCATCACACGATAAAGGAAATGCATGTGTTTGTAATTTTTCAAATACTGTACGTCTGGAATGGTTTTGTTGCTTATGAGCAAAACGTAAGTTTCTCATGTCTTTACAAAATATTTCAATACCATAGGAATTTTCTCCTCTCGAAGTTGAACCACCAATTTTTTCTACTCTGGATATAACTCCCAAAGGTACATCAATAATAATTAAAACATCACGATCAGTTGAAGGATGTGAACGAAAATGAAGTCTGTAATTTGTAATGGTCAACGTCCCAAATGATAATCCACGATAATTACAAACATATGTTACATCGTTTTTCTGATATTGCTCCTTTTCTCCAATTAAGTATTCAAAGGGTGGATCTCGAGTTTCAGAATTTTCCACTCCTGTTTTTGAATTCAATGAACTTGATTTGGAAGAGTCTAACGAATTAGAGCTTGCATTTTTTGATACACTGACATTTGTTTCATTTCCCGCATCAGAACGTTTTTCCATTATCAAATTTTAACTTTTGAATCGCTAGATTTATTTAAGAAACACAAACTTTTCTATAAACTTTTTTTTACAAAAGGCAGCTAATGCATACATAGAAAAAAAAACCAATAAGATGACAACTTCAAAAATATGTGACAACCCCAGTTCTCCTCATATTTTTATCAGATTTTTTAATTTTAAAATTTTTCTGGGAACACAGCAAAATCAACGGCAGCACCTTTTTATTGTCGTTGGTCAGAATATACTTGCATATTATAGTTTTAAATTGCGAAATCGTTGTGATATTCTTCTTTATCTGCTTTACCATTTCATTAAAGGTTTAAAACAACTTGATGAAGTATAAAAAGTCTAAGATACTGGTAATTTTACAAAATTTATAATAATTAATATGAATGGATTTATGAAGAGAAAAAAATTTAAGGCAAAAGTAAAGATGTTTTCTTTAACAACATTTAATTGAATAGTTACATTTTTTATGTTTTTAGAAAATTTGAGGAAGATTTCCAATTTTTTTTTTTAAAAATGAAAAAACATTATTTAGTGAAATTCAAGCCAAGGATGCTAAACGCGCTAATTGTGTTTATTGCAAATAAATACTTGCACATGTGTCAACTTAACCGTCAAAATTGAGTTATCCTTCGAAGTTATATTGATCAGTTGATTAGAAACGTTGGTAAAAAGTGAGTTTGAAGAGAAATTTAAAAAAAATAAAAGGATCTTTTTAAAGTAAAAACTATTAATTCTAGAAATAGATTATCACTAGCATAAAAACAATGGCTTTAGTTGCACTCAACGAATCCAAATTTATATTCAGAGGAGCTTTCTCGCAGGTAATAAAAATAAAAAAAGTTTTGTTTTTGCCTCAATACGGTTACATAATTTTTATGTGGCACTCGTTTTATAAGTGCAGGAATGTTATTTAGGAACACTAAATGTTATGTTTATAAATTTATTTTATAATAAGCTTTCTTAATTTTTATTTCACAATATGTTGAAATTGTTACAAATGCATATTTACATAATAATATGTATGTGTATGTTCAGTTTTTGTAGAACTAGAGACATTAACAATTAGTGCAAATAGACAATCAAATCCTAATGTTATTTAAAAAAAAAACAATTGTAGTATCTATCTTTATATTATACATGCAAAAATAATATGTAGGAAATTTTAAATGCATATAATTGTATAATTTATTAAAATATTTTCTCATATCTTAATATTTTTAGATCCGCTATGTTTGCACAACTCCAACTAAAGGTCAAGAAGCTAAACCCAAAGAAGAATCAAACCAGGAATCTAAAGCGGCTATTATTAAAGAATTCAAAATTTATAGATGGAACCCTGAAGAACCTGGTCAAAAACCGTACATGCAAACTTACAAAATAAATTTGCGTGAATGTGGTCCAATGGTTTTGGACGCTTTAATTAAAATTAAAAATGAAGTCGACCCGACACTTACTTTTAGAAGATCATGTCGTGAAGGTATTTGTGGATCATGTGCCATGAATATTGGAGGTATAAATACATTGGCATGCATCAGGTAAGTTTTACATGCCAAACAAGATTGTTTGAGAGAAGATTGATAAACATATGTAGTTAGTTTAATTTCCATTAAACAATTTTTGGATATACATATGTAGCTCGAGGTAGTGAGAATGTCTTAATTTTAAGCGTGATTGATAAAATGTTGTGTGAATTCAAAAGGTTCTAAAAAAATATTTATTTTAGAACCATAGTATTCTTTCCTTCAGAATATAAACTATATTGCTTCTGCAAACTACAATCAAAAAGTAATTTTTACTAAAGCTTTAATGAGATTAAAATGATTTCAAATTTATTTCAAATTATGTATTATGGACTTCATTGTGTTTGGTTCTATGCTTGTGATTTGGATATTTCTGAAATTAATAGAAAATATTTGGCTTATTTTTTTCCTTTTAATTTAAAACCGCTTGATTTTCCACTTCGACTAGATTCTCGAGATAACTCCGATGGTTGAAAATCAATTGAAATCACACTAGGTCTAGATGTTCCTACACCCAATCTGAGCCCTTCAGAAGAGTCCTCCGATCCGCCAGAAATTCTTGAAGATGCAGACATTAGTGACGAGAACGCTAAAATAGGTCAATATTTTAATATAAAGTAAAAAACGTAAGAAATCTATAATTTAATTACCTTTTGAAGAACATGATATGGTTATATCTGAATAATTACTTCTCCAAGATGTTGCACTTCTTGGTTTAACAACTTGAACTTGTGGCAATTTTAAACCTTTATCATCTAGTAAACTTAAAACATCTGTTGCCATCTCAATATTTGAATCAATCAAATCAGCAAATAGTTGTAAAGCAGAATTATTTCTTTGAGATAATTCTTTAAGAATTAAGTCTTTTTCAAAATGCATCAAAAATGTTTCAGTAAAAGAACGTTGACGAATATCTCTAGTTGCATAACGAATTTCACGTTCAGCTCTTTGTAATTTGGTTTTCTGTTCCAATAGTTCCTTGTGAACTTTTATCAATATTTCAGAATTTTCTGCTCTAATTCGAATTTGTTCTTCTAATTGTCTTTCAATGGTATCTCGTGTTTCAACATTTTCATCAATTTTCTTAGATAAATCATCTATTTCATGTTTCAATGTTTTCAAACGAAGTAAAAAATTACAATAGCTTTCCTCTTGTTTTTGTAATTCCTTTAATTCGGTACCTACGAAATGGTTGGATTTTTCAATTACCTAAGTAAGTAAATTAGGATTGTTTATAAATTTATGAAACTTACTTTCATCATCAGCTCTTTCAAAATTTTGCTTATACTTATTGTTTGAAAAATTTAATAGACATAAAGTGTTTTCCATTTGTTTTAATTCATGTTCAGCTTTTAAAACTTTCGCGTTCATTTCATTTCCTTGTAGTAATAATATTTGCTTTTCTTGAGCGTTTTCAATTTTTAACTGAGTTGCTGTTACTAATGTTCCATCATCGTTTTTACCTAGAAGATCTAAGCATAATATGTAGCGTTTAATAGTTGCATCAATTTTTAGTTGTCTTTCAGATAAATCCATTCTATAAGCGCTTCGCTCTTCCTGTAAGTGTCTCCGTTTTGTTTGTAGTACTTCAGTTTCGATTTTTAATTTTAGCATTCTTTCGGTTACTGCTTTTTCCATTTCTATCCGGAACTTTTCCAAGTTCAAAACTTTATTTTGGCATTTCGATATTTGTATTTCCATTTCATGTATGCGCATTTTTAAAAGACTCATTTCAACAATTTTTTCTTGATTTTGTAAAGTTTTTCCTTTTATTTGTTTCTCACCAACTTCAACATATAAGGTCAACTCTTTCAGTTTATATTTCTAAAACAAAATTTTAATATTAAATTCATAATTTAAAAGATTTTATACATATTTTACTAATTGTTCAACAAGTTTAGCATCTTCAGTGTACGAGGCTGTCGTCGTTTTCATATCAGTTTCCAATTTATTCACTTGACCTTGAACAATTATTTGCTGTTTATTTGCTTTATTCGACTCTTCTTCCAACTGTGCAAGTTTTTCTTCATTTCGAAGAGTTTCTTCTAGATCCACTGTAACGCCAGTCATTTTTGAAATTTTCATTTCTAATAATTGAATTTTCATGCACTGATAAAAAATTAATATAGGTAATTAGAAATACGAAGTAATGCTTAATACGAAGTATGAAAAATTAATAATAACAAACCAAATCATATTGTTCCTCTGTAGCTTTCATAACATTTTTCTTCATATTTATTAGTCCACATTTCAGAGAATTAATTGATGCATTTAAACCTGAATTTTCAGACTAAAAAATAAATAAGATAAGATAAAGAAATAATGTTGAAAAGTCATATGACATTTTCATTCTGTTTGTTTACCTCAAGTATTTTTTCTTCACTTTTTAGAGCTATCAAACGTTCTTGTGAACGAAATAATAGTCCATTAATTCTTGTAATTTCATTTGTTAATTGTTCTTTCAACTTCTCTTCATTCTCAATCATTTCTTCAACCATATTTAAACGTTCTGTAGCAGATAAATGTTTATTCAAAAAATTCTTATGTCTATCACGAAGATTTTTTATTATATCAGATAATTTAATATTTTCAGCTTCTTTTTCTTCTTTTAACACCAAATTCTGTTTATTTTTATTGCGCTGTTGTTGAAGTTTATTTGTAAGACCCTGTAATTGCTTCTTTAGTACGTAATTTTCACTATCTCGTAAGGAAATTATGTTTAATAAATCTTCATAATGTTGCCTCAATGATGAAATATCTCTATTAAATATTGATATTTCTATTTCAATTTCTTTATTATTTTCAATAAGTTGCTTTAAAAAATCTTCATTTTCTTTAAATTCTAATAATTTTTCTTCTTTAACAACAATAGCATTATCAAGTTCGTCTTCTATTATACGTATATTTTTTTCACGTTGATCCATTACTTTAACAGCATCTTTCCATGTGTCAACCATATTTCTACGTTCTATATGAGCTTGACGATATAATTCAGCTGTACGGTCTAAGGATTTTTCAAGAGATTTTTGATTTTCAATTACTTCTATTAATTTATCACGTTTTTTATTAATCTCTTCTATAATAATTCTACGACGATTATCAAGCTCTGTTGCTTTTTGTTCATCAATTTTACAATATTTTTCAATAATTTTATTTGCCTCATCACCCTCTTCCATTGCCAATTTCCATTCTTCTAACAAAACCTTTGCCCATTTAATTTTTTGGGTAAGACGTTCAATATTTTTTATAAATGTTTTAATATTTTCTGAAATATAAAATTAGAAGAATATTAACTAAAAATATTGCTACGGCAAGTTTTAATCAACAAAAATGTTAGCCATGAAAACATTACTTGATGTTTCTCTATCATAACATTCACAATGCTCAATTTCTTTTGATAAATCTTTTAAATCTATGTGTAGTTTCTTTGTTTCTCTTTCACAGACCTTGTGCATATGAATTTCACTGTTCATGTCAGATCGGTGAGCGCTCATCAATTTCTGTTCATTATTTCATTAAAGAATCAATTCCATATAAGAATAAAAACATAGATTTTACTTACAGAATTTTGATCAATCGAGCATTCAGTATTTTTCAAATGTGTTTCTAATTTTGATGCTCTATCGTCTATAGATTTAAGCTCATTTTCTTTTTCATTTCGAAATTTTTGCAGCTCAGTAATTTTCTCCATAAGTTTTTGATTTTCTAAATTTGCCACTGGCAAAAAATTTCCATCTCCCCAGCCCATTTCATTGATAATATTTTCTATGTAATTTGGATCCATTTTTTTTATGTTAAATTTACTGGCATACAGTTAAAAAATATTGATGTTTTTTTTTTGGAACTTCAAATCGAACAAAATAAAATTTTACTATAAATGAAATTATATTTGATCAATAAGTTATTTGTTGATAGGATTACCAAAAGTTAGATGATAGGGGTATTGCGCAGAATTGTTGTTGAATAGCAATGCATTCATGACCTGTTGATATTTTAAATAAACATCATTTAAATAATAGCGGAGAGAGCAATTAAATGGGAAGTACCTAATGGGGAGAACAATCATATTTTTGAAACAAGTTTCAAATGCAATTGATTAACCAGTCTTATAAGAAAATTATTTTTTATAAAATTCTTTGAAAAATTTTAATTTCATGTCTGCAATTGCTCACATATTTATTTTAAATAAATATAACTATAAATATAATATATTGAAAATACTCATTTAAAAAATTTAAATTTCTTAATTGATTAATTTTTTTCATTTTTTATGGTTTCTATTTACTATTGTACATTTATTAATGATAACAAAAAATCAAAAGTAAAATTGAAGTATCAACCAAACCAACAAAAATTTATCCTTTGCCTCATATGTATGTCTTGAGGGATTTAATACCTGATATGAATAATTTTTATGAGCAATATCGAAAAATTCAACCTTGGCTTCAACGAAAGTAAGTGTAAAAGATTAACTTATGAAAATATTTTATATATATAAATTATTATTTCGTTTAGAAATGAAGCGACAGAAAGCAAGGGTAAGGCTCAGTACTTACAATCTGTTGAGGATCGTTCAACTTTAGATGGTTTATATGAATGTATATTATGTGCCTGCTGCTCGACATCTTGCCCATCATATTGGTGGAATGGTGATAAATATTTAGGACCTGCTGTTCTTATGCAAGCTTATCGTTGGGTTATTGATTCTCGAGATGAGAATACACAGGAACGTTTGGACAAATTAAAGGATCCTTTCAGTGTATATCGTTGTCATACTATAATGAATTGTACACGTACATGTCCTAAGGGATTAAATCCTGGTTTGGCGATTGCTAAGCTTAAGACTTTATTGTCTGGAATAGAAAAGAAACCTTCACCAAAAATGGATACAGCTGCTTTACATAATTCATAAATATTATATGTACATATATTTAAATAATTGAAATTGATATTTTTCTTGATTTATTTAGACAATTTTTTTATTTAATTTTTGAAAATTGATTTAACCATAATGTTATTATTTACGTGAAAAGTGTAAATGGTTACATTTTTATTGCGAATGGGTAAGGAAATTTTTGGCTTGGTTTTACATTCGAATCTACATATTACATAATATATGAATAATAACGTAAGCTGAAGTATCGTAGTCGGTAACAAAAATTGAACATTCAACAATAATTCTGTCCAAGATGAAATCTCCTTCAAAAATTATACTTTTATAGTTTAAAAAAATTGAGAAAAAACATGCGAACAATACTCATTTTTAAAACATATGAGAATACTTTCATTATGCTTAAATCAAGTTTCAAATGCTTGAAAATTGATATTGAAGAAAAATATTGAGAGATTAAAAAATTAACAGTAAAATTTTTAAAATTTCGTTATGAAAAATAAATTATTTCTAAAACAGTCATATTGGTGTTATTATTATTTATATTACTTTCTTTTAAATGTAGATATAATGTATGTAAATGTAAATAATCATAAAGGATTTTTACTTATCAGTACATATTTTACATACAGTAGAAACTAACTTAAGAAAACAATAGAAACTTAAATTTCCCCGAAATTACCTTATTCAGCAATGCAAATTCAATTGCTGAATCAAATGAAAAATTTTTTTTGCCTTATTTCAATATTTTTTAAAAAGCGAAGTTTCACACGATTTGATTGTAAGTTGAAGAAACATAGTGTGAAAAAATGACGTACGTAACATGTCTGAAAACGCAAAGTTTAACACATAAAAAATGAGTTAAAATTTTAATCTATTAAAATAAATTATAATTGTATTATTAATCTTTTGAAATCAAAGACTGGTGGCTTCAAAATTAGCATAATATAAAAGAAAATTAATTATTAAAACAAAAGGTAACTCAAAAAAACTTCGGATTTTAAAAAACGAAAAAAAAATAGCTTTAAAAACATTTTAATATGTGATTTTGAGTCTACATGGTGAGTATAGGTACGTAGATCAGTCAAAATAATGTATTTCAATTAAATATTTCTTAATATAAAACTCAAACTAAGCTTTTAATAAAAATTTTATTGATTGTCAAAAGTTCTATAAAAAATAAAACCGATATATACTTTTTTACAAATTAGTTTTATTGTTTTCCTGAAAAATTTATTTTTCCTGATAAATCCAATTTTTGATATAAGTTCAATTATTGTAAATCTGACATAAAATAACTTATTCAGCAATACAATTTTAATTTACTTAATATAATTTTATTAGCTGAACAAGTTAAGTCGGCGTTTAATCGCATTTGTTTAAGGGAGTCTAAAGACGCCTACAAAAATGCTAACATAACTTATTCTGCTCAAAAAATGTACACAAAGTAAGGCAATACCCACTTCGCTTCTATCATCGCATTGATATTTCAGTAGAATGCATCGTCTTATTTGAATGAAATTTGAAAAGTAACGCTAAACATGGTAATTTTTTACCTTTCGTGTTGATAATCAACTTTTTTTTTTTATAATATATTAACTTATTCAGTTTCAGTTTTTATTATTTTAAGTAAGTTTCAAGTCATTATCTCATGTTGAAATTATAAAAGTTGTCAAAAAATTAAGTAACAATTTTTATTGACAAAATATTAAAAATATCAAATACATAATTGAATTTTTAAAATTTAAAATTCAACAAAATTTTTAAATAAAAAATTAATTTTAGATTTAAAATTTTCATCAAAACAAAAACACTGGAAAAATAAAAACAAAGCGATGCTTTGTTGCTAAAAATTAACAGTAAAAGCGAAGTGTGTATAGGGTTAGCATAATTATTCATTAAAGCGATGACTGTCAAATTGCTATTTTTTTGTCTTGTATTGTGGCAATACTGTAATGTAATGACTTTTAATAAGAATTTTGAAAATAAATATTTCTTTTTAAATTAGTCAAATTGTGACAGCAGAAATGTTAAGAAGTTAAAAAATTTAAGTGAGCTGGAAATCGCTTTGTTAGTTTTGTGTTTGATTTATGTGTCTAAATATTTATAAAAAATATAAATCAAAGTTAATTAAATAATTGTTTAAAATTTTATGAAATATCTATAATTGTTAAAATATATTCAAAAGGTAATTTAACATAAAATGTGTTTTGAAAATGTTTTAAAAGTGAAGAAAAAATTTACAAATTTCCACCATATTGTTTGAGGCTTGAAATATTTTGTAATACGTCATCGTTTATAAATAAAACAAACTAATAATGAAAAAAGGAAAAACTTCTACTGAAAATATCGTTATTTTCAATAAGAATAAAAAAATAAAAAAAAAAATCTAACCTAAAACAAAACGAAAAATAAAACAGGTCATTCGTTTATTTTTCCAAGGTTAATAAAAGAAAAACTGCAACTAACAAAAAAAAAAATTAATTGTAATTTAACTGTAAAAAAAATGTTCTTAAAATTTTCTTAAAAAAAGAAAAACATGAAAGAAAATGTTGAGTTGTAAAAATAAATTTGCGTTGTAATTGTTGTGTTAGGCGTTGGAAAAAATTAAATCAATAAAAATTTTTCAAATTAATCTATATAACATGAAAATAGTTTCAAGGTTTTTTTTTTTTTTGAATATTAAATATTTTTATTTTAAATATAAAATAAATAATGTTGTGTTTGAAATCTTAAAGTAGAATAAGTAGCGTTTTAAAAATACAATAAGAACGCTTAGATGAAGTTCGAAGATAAAATATATTTTAATGTACAACTATATATGTACATATGTATGTATATTTCAATATATTTTATATAAATACATAATACAATAAGTATTTACATAAAACACAACATACAAAATATAAAGAAATTTTCTTCAAGTTGGTAGGTAGTCGATTGTATATAAAATTAAATTTATAAAAATTTTCTGTGCGTGTGCTTTTTTATTCTGTTTTCATCAAGATTCTTTTCTTACTTTTTGTATACATATCCATATATACTGCATAAAGTATAACCAAATTTCAAGAATTAAATACATAAATGACTCACGCATTTATTTTAGCGCAATTTTTATCACGTGTATTGTGGAATACTGGAATGTATTGTAAGTGGTAAAAGTAGGTATACTACCTACCCATTCTTAGTTCTTTATCTACTCATTTGAAATTTGAAGGAAGAGTCTACGTAAAAGAAGTTTAAGAATAAATCGTTGAAGTAGGTAGATTTGTATTAAATATAAATAGCCATACATACTTATATTATGCAAGCGAGTTAACTGGAAGCTACATATCATATAAAATGTTTATGTTTAGAAACGGTATAAACATTATAAAATTCTGTATTTATTGTTCCTAGATATTTAATTAGATTTGCTAGAATTATATTTTCCAAACATAAATTTTTGTACAATGTTGCACTACTCCTATTACTTTATACATACCTATATGTTTATAGCATATATTTTAGAACGTTTTGCATAGGTACCAATATAATGCATTTATTTACTTAATCAGTTACTAAGCGATTATAAGCTTTTCCGTTATTTAGTAATGGTGTAAAAGCTGATTAAATAGGTGTATAATCAAAATTTTTTATATGCACAAAAAATGAGAATGATTTTTATTAAAAATTATAAAAATTATAACATAAGTAATATTAAATAATTTATTATTGTATTATACTTAAGCTTACAATTCAAATGCTTCATATCAAATAAAGTAAATTGAATTGGTTATATGAATGTTTACATATAAAAAATTCAATAAAATAATATTATCTATTCAAGATAATTATAACTACTTATAATATTTTAATAAAAATCCACTTACTATCCCCCTAATTTGAATAATTTAAGAGAGTCTTATGTAATATTTGAAGAATTGTAATCAAAGCTATCAATTCAATTTCAAATGCTTAATGTTAAATTAATTTACTGTACAAAATGAAAGAAAAAAAACTCTTCTAATTTTATGATTTTTAAAAACATTATAGCCTATTTATCTATTAATTGTATATATTTTGTTTTCGTTTTTTAATTTACTTTTAATAGAACATTTTTAAATTTTTGGCCTTTTCCCTGTATTTATGAAAAAATACTGTAAATAATCATTTGCATTTAATAGTTTGTAAAACATTTGTACAGTGGTGGTAGAGTAAACTTATTCAATAGAGCCGCCATCTAAAAATATATAAAATATAATATTATTTTCAAACTTGAACAAAAACAATAATCTTGTTTTATATTTTCTCTATATTTACTTTCAAAATACAAAAAACCATTAGTACCCATATGAATAAATTGAACACAGTCAAAAAATGAGGAAAAAAAAACAAAAAAAAAATGTTTATTTTAGAATTTTTTTTATGCAAATAAACTTACATTTACATTACAATGACTTTAAAAAGTTCAATGATTTTCATTTTCTATAGCTAAGTAGTAATTTTTTTTTTTTTTGATTATGTAAAAGAATTCATTGTGCCATTCTCTGTAATCAAAAGTTTAAATATACCAAATTTTTTATGATGATTTTTTCAATTTGATTTTTATAATATTTAGTGAACTAAATATAAATTTTATACATTTTTAAATAATTATTTAAATTTTTAATAAAATTAGGTTAAATATTTTAAAAATTTCTTAATTACCAGATAATGTAATATGTGACCTGTATATTACAAGTATGTATGTGTATTATGTACTTGCATACGTAGAATTTGTATAATAATTTTATTTTCTACATTCCTATGCATTCTTTAAGCAAGCGAGAAAAACAAAAAACAAACCGGCAAATTTCTTAAATAATTCATTGCAATTTAGTGTTAGGGCAACGCTACATAATGAATATAAAAAATATTTATTATTAAATTTTGATAAATGAGATTTATCTTTCAGTTTCTTTTCCTTTTAATACAAAATTTAAAAATAGAATTATAATAGAAATAAAAATAAATTGGAATATTATTCATGAATCAGATCGGAATGCATTATTGTGTGCATTATAAAAACGAAAAGCAGAAATTTTAATAGAAATTAAAATGAAATTTTTATTTAATTTTTCGTTAAAGAAATACCAACAGTAGCAACTTGCTTGTTTATATTTACAAGCAAGTCATTGGGATTGTTTCAATTAATCGTCATGCCATCATTAATATAATGTTATCAATTAATTTTATTCAGATATTCAAGAATTAATAATTTTCACTGGTTGTCTTCATTTACGAATATGTAGGGTACTTATAATTTGTAATTCATATACACTAAGTCGTCGAGATACAACATTTTTGATTCCAGAAATTTATGTCGTAAATCGAATTGTCGTTTGAGAAGGAAAAAAAATGTATTAAAACAAAAAATGAATTAGACAAACTATTTTATAATGTGAATCACCTGTTTTTTAAAAAATGATAACAAAATTTAAAAAAAAAAGACAACAAAATATTATAACAAAATTTCAATAGCCAAAAAAATTCAATTTTGTAACAAAAATAAATAAAATAAAATCTGGTTAACTTGATATACAAATAGGCATTACTTCAATTCGTATTTTTAACTAGAAAAACCTCATTATTGAAGTTCTTGCTTTAGATTTGTCTTATAACTACATTCGGTTTAGATTTTTATTAAAAAATCAGTAAAATTTGTTAAAAAAAAAAACAATTTTTTTTTAATTTTTAATGACGTGTCAGGAACAATTACGCAAACAGAATAAAAACGGTTCAAAATTATATGATGTCGTAACTCGAAATGTCGTATTAGAAGATGTCGTATCTCGAGGACTTAGTGTATAATTAGTGTAGACAATTTAATTTACGATTTAATAAAAACTTATAAGTGTGTATGTAAGTACCAAATTATCTATGCCAAAAGAATATTTTTTTCCCAGGCGTCAAATGAAATCTTATGTTACCAGAAACAAAATAAATTGGTATCTACTAGCCAATAGTTGTACCTACACACAAATTTATCTTATTCATTGTTTTTTTTTTTTTTTAAAGTATTCTTTTTGTTCAAGTAGAATAAGTAAAAGACATAAAATGTAATTGGGTTCATGTAAGTACACACATATTGTGTATCTTGTACATAGTCTAGTTATATAAATATATTTAATACTTATATGTATTATTTTCTCAATTGAATGGATGAATGGGAAGCTCTCTAACTGATTTCCCTTTTCTTTTTTGTTTTATTGTGTTAAAATTCTTTTTGTATTTATTCAAGAAATGTTTTTTTTTATAACACTAATAGCTCTTTCACTTTTTGTCTTTTTAGTATGGTCATTTTATGAATAAATTTTGGCTTTTGTGCTAGCTTGCATATTATTTAAACTATATAAATTTTTTACTGGAAAATTAAAAATTATAATTAAGTGGCAGTTTTGAAATAAAAAAAAATTCTTACGTTTTTTAAAGTGATTTTTTTTTTAATATAATATTTTTTATAATTTGAATTCGTTTATACGGTTACGTACGTATTTTATTTATAATTGATTATTCTTACCAAATTTGAGCATATACAAAATTATAAATATTTATATAGATATATAATATATACATACATACGTGTTGTATATATTATATAAGTTGTCTATTGTTTGATAGTGAAATTTTGATATAATAATCGAGCTTAAAATAAATATTGCGATAAACTATATTCTTTTTGCTTTTTTTGTTTCATTCAAATATGACTAAGTCATATTTTTATTATTTGAAAATATTGATTAAATTCTTATAATATTTAGATGGTTATAATTATTGGCCGGATATTTTTATTTTAGTTACAATATAAATTGTACATCTTATCATTTAATTTTGATAAAATAGTTTTCTCTAATCTAAGTAGATAAAGAAAATTTGAGCATTTACAAATTTATGTATATCTATGTAATTAGATAATTTACAAATAAATTATGAATTAAAGCTCTAATATGTAAACTGTAAGCAGTAAAAATGAAGGATTCTAAAAATTTTGGGTTTATTTTTTTTGATATTTTTTTTTGCATCATGTTTAAATACAAGTGAGGGGTTCAAACATTTAAAAAGCTTTAGTTTAATTTGATATTTGCGTGCATTCGTACCTGATGTTATATTTTCAGACTAAGCACATAAAATAATAATGGCACAGCCATAGAGTATTCAATTTTCCTA